GATATTGCTGAAATGCACTTCAAGCCAAACTTATGAGATTCTTTCAAAAATGCCAACTTCCACAATAGGAGCCGAAATGTTCTTAGGTCTTCCAAAACCCAGTTCGGACATACGCCCAAGTCCGAAATCATCATACAAACCTGCTGGAACCTTCGAATCCCGATACCTGGGTCGTTTACTCAAAATTTCAACCTTAGTCAATTCTTTCAACTTAAAGCTTCCGAAATGAGAATTTTCTTTCCAAATCAACTCCGAACTTCCCGGAATTTAATTTCGACCGTGCGCACAAGTCATAATACCTGAAGTGAAGCTGCTCATGGCCTCAAACTGCTAAACGACGCACTATAGTCCAAAACGACCGATCGGGTCATTACATTCTCTCCCACTTAAATATACGTTCGTCCTCGAACTGCTAAGAACTACGATGGGGTTGCCCGAAATCACTGTTTAACATCTCGAGCACCTACCCGTGCTACCACAACTTAGCTGGGAACCATAGATTAATCAATCTGAAGATATCCTTTTTCACTTAAGCAAATAAGCCTTAGAACCCAATTCCAACATCTGGAATTCTCTACCAGGCATGTTTCCAACATACAAACACCGTATCAATCACCACACGATGTACCAGAACATGACTGCATACCCTTGCTGAATTCACACCTTGCACCACTTTATTCACAGAACCACAATAACATTCTCTGAGCATAATAACCAACATTCCCCGAATCTGATGCTCACAATGCACCTCATGATATATATATGTATTGTTCCAACTCTCGCAATACCGCCACGACAGAAGAGATGTGTAGAAATTTATAACCAATTGCAAAGTCAACAAATCATTGAGTCTATACTTCTGACAAAAACCATTACCTCATTTTGAACCAAATAATGATCTTTGCTCTTTAATATACTTCATATAATCCGACTGCACTAATCCTAGATCCAATAATCTTGTCTCACCCAGTATGAACTGCTCAGGCAATAAGCCACCTCGGTCATGATCAAAAGTCCCATATGATGCCATAACGTGCCAATAGGCTACCAACCCGAACGCGATACAAAAGGAAAATGAACTCTAAAAAGGAAATCCAATTACCCCACCCGTAAATCCTACATGCGACGCGGTCAACATAATTAAACAAACATCTCACTCGCGAATCATACCTGTGACGCGGGCACACAGCTAATATGAGTTTTTCTCAAAAAAATAGGAAACAAAACACATAAAAATAGATATGGGGAACTATACTCAACATCACACTGTTGCGGCGCGCAATCCGATCCAAACAACATACCCATGGCGGCGTGCCACCCGATCCACACATAAAATTCACATGAGGAGATACACACCCGAGCTAGATTGCTCATTACATGAAAATACCAAATGTCGGTCACCAGCACATCAAGTGCATAATACCATCCCTGGGGAGACATATAGCGCCATAAGCTACAAACTTAAGCACAACTGAGGTGTGATATACGATCTGAATCTCAAGAGACATTCTGCTCATATAACATCATCTCTACACAGAACCTCAACACATAAGAAATTCACCAAGCCGTCTCACGACTCACACGGCGCAATACATCATTATATGAAATAGCTGACGATGAAATAACACCCCGTTTACTCTTCCATAAGGAGCGCATGGCTGAAATGAACACATCTGGCCTGATATAGAGCCCATTCACATTTAAATCCATCCACAGACCTCAAGCTGATTTTGATCGCACTAAGCCAGGCTAATAACCTTTCAAAGGTCCATAATTACCCCCTTTTTCTCATAACAAACAAGAACAACCATCATAACCGGAGTAATCCTCTACAGTCCGCAACCCAATAAATTGAGTGCCCTCCAAGCATCAATTGTCAATTTAACGACATCACCACAATCTTTATATTGGGTTTAACTCTTCAATCAATCAAGTGACTACATGCCACACTTATACAACTTTCCCGTGGGGCACGCTCCCACAACCTTCCATAACAGATAACATGTCTGTACATCCAAACCACCGGCCACACTAATGCTGAAAAATGATCAAGAATCCTTAACTAGGATACAAAGCCTTTTTCACAAAACACCGATCTCAGGTGACGCTGAAGACAGTACTAACTTACTTTAAACATCGAAACTTTTTTCATGCTCATCCGATCTCGTGACATCCTTGTCAACACTGAACTGTGACCTTGATCCTCACTTCAATTCCAAACCACTCACTGCACCCAACATGCCAAAATAAGATAGAACACGATTTTCATCATAACTCCGGAACCACTAATAGATTAACACTTCATCATATAAAAACCTTTCACTTAACTCACTCCTGGAGAACCATAACAACACACATGTGAATTCTCATAATCGAAGAATATGCAAATCTCTAAGTAGTGGTCTAAGCCACCATAGCCCTTCCGGGATCCGCCTACACATAACAGGCCATAACAGTAGAATACTTTTGAATAACATCAAGTACGGCGGCCGACAAGCCTCACATGTATCGTCACAAATCACTTGCATAACTTGATTACGCTGAAGGAACTGATCACTACCACCAATGTACCAATTCAACTATGGCTAACCAATCTATCTTCTTCCAATTTATCCTTGATTGCCTTAGAAATAATAATAACTCCATTCAACACATAACACACCCCATCCGCACTCATCTCGAGTGACCTTGAATCACGAGACCATGCTATCTAAAATCCCACAAACCATTTCATACCTCCCTTGCGTGCACATTCGCATCCTCAACTGGCATGCCTATTATGATAATCCTCTACGAATTCGAAGTCTTTTCTCATTTTCCTCCCAAATTCTACACTGCAAGTCAGAACATCATAGAATATTCTGGGCCTCTTCTCATAAGCTGCTACGAAAACTTGATTCTTAACCGTACCTATAGGCTCGAAATCATTAGGCACCACACTTTACCCCTTTGAATCCACTAGGACCGTTGTTGAGAGCCACCCGCTCTAACTTGGCCCCGAACATATTCAACTCCATGAATCTTCTAGCACATGAATACCCTATCGACGAGGCACCCGACAAAATCACTTCCCTTGAAACCCGCATCTATACAAGGCATAAATCCTGCATCCTTCCCCCACTCCGTACATGAGCCAATGAGGCCAGCCCTAGCACACCTTTAACAATTCCTTTGCTCAAATTACCTCTTATGTTCTTTTTCCCTTAGCTGACATAACCCATCAATATGCTAATAACTGAAAACCTCATAAATAGACGACAATACAATCCAACTTTAGGCAGTGGGACTCTCCCTTAGCTTGAAGCCACTATTACACAACTTTGGAACCCACTAAGATTTTTTTATCTCTTATTGACATAACCTTGTGCAATTAAACTGCCAAATTCCTCGAAATCCTTCCGTTAGCATTTTATGAACACTCTAAATCTCTAGCAACATTCATATATTAGACCTCTTATCGGATAGCCAGTAAAATCTTTTGCAGGAGTTTCACCAACCATGCGACCACTAACCTGCTCCCAAAAAATAACCCACCTAAGCCTGTGCTCATTCCCCAGTTGCACAAGTCCATTTACTCCTCGTGGCCTACAACTAAATGTTCTACAATATCTTCCAATTCAAAGTTATGTTGTATCCTCCTTCATATCAAGAAGCACCTTTCCGTCATATCAAATCTCCCGCCGAATAATAGCCGATATTTTAACTTAAGTCCGTAGACCTAGCCACTGTCCACTAAAACTCCCCAAATCACTCCAAACTTTCCTCAAGGGTGTAGTTATCCTGCCACTAAATTCACATATTACTCTGCCACTCTCCCACTTTGGGCAGACTCACCTCTTTAAGAAACTCCTCGACCTCCACATCTTACACTTGGCCTTCTAGAAATTTAACCACCGCGTGACACTTCCTACACGTGCTTCCTCATCCTTTGCTACTCAGCTAATGCCTTAGATCCAAATCTATCTCGGTAGCACTTGAACCAATAGACCGCTACTAGCTTTTAAACCGTTCTGAAGAATCGTCTCTCTCGAGCCGTTGGCATTAGAAATATGCATTCAATCCTGAACCACCACACCTCGTGATCTTTGACAGCCGCTTCTCCAATACTGTCTTACAATATCCTGCCCTAAGGGTGAATCATAGAAGGTCTTAACACCGGCGAGCTTAGTACATTCAACAAAGACAATGACATCTCATCACTGATGAAAATTCCACCACGCTTGCAAATACCAAGCCTCGTTACTCCATCAAACCAAATCTGAACATTCTCAGCCCGATTGCTTTTCCCCTGTTGGGAATAAAATACCGAATCTCTAAATCATGCACTGAGAAAATATCCTTCCAAGTCATTCACTACTTCGACGCATAGACAAACATCCTACCATTACACCAATACTGTGCGATAGCAACACACGAATCGTCATAACAATTAATTCCAAATCTCAAAACCTTAGGTAATACTGATACTGATAAAAAATAACAGACCGACCTTCCGCAAGGCGACGACAATAGCCCGATCAAATACGTAGGGAGGAACATCCCGCACCATATCTGTAGTACCATTACAATTTCTCAATTCTCGATCGATATAGCAAGTGCTTCACGTCGCATAAGATTGAGTAGGAAATAAACAAAGGCATAAGCCTCAAAGGAATCAAACCGCACGATGAGGAATCAAGAAGGGAAGTACTCCTAACAGCCCTGTAGCCTCTCGAAGATAAGTACAGACGTCTCCGTACTGATCCGCGAGACTCTACTAGGCTTGCTCATGACTCGTGAGACCTAAGGGAACCTAGTGCTCTGATACCATGTTGTCACGACCCAAAATCCACTAAGGGTCGTGATGGCCCCGGACACCACTGTCAGGCAAGGCAACCAAAATACTTAATTAAATTCTCGTTTTAATAATTTTGAAAACTATGACTTTACTTTAATTTTACCAGTAAAAGATAATCGTTTCAAATCAAATATGAATGTTAAGAAGTGAATATGGATATCCTTCAAGCTCCACTATTTTTGCTCTGATGAGTGTCATTTCCAGAAAAGGTAGAAACTAGGTATTGAAGCATTCCTAGTTTTGCCTTGAACATGAAATCAAAATTAAAGAATGGCTTATGTTCTGTGGTGCCTCTTCATTTACAAGGTGAATCTGCAACACGTTTTTGCATGTTCCGCAAAGTGAAGTCAGCTTGCTGTAGTCCAGGAAACATAGCTGTTTACCTTAATGTATATGACTTGACACCCGTTAATGGCTATTTCTACTGGGCAGGCATAGGTGTCTTCCATACAAGGGTGGAAGTTCATGGTGTTGAATATGCTTTCGGAGCACATGACTATCCAACAAGTGGTGTCTTTGAGCTTGAACCTCGTCAGTGCCCTGGCTTTAAATTCAAAAAGTCGGTGTTCATGGGAACAACATATTTAGATCCTATCCAGCTTAGAGAATTCATTGAGCGCCAATCAGTAAACTACAATGGTGACTCATATCATTTAATTGCCAAGAACTGTAATCATTTCTCCGATGATATCTGTTACAGGTTGACTGGGAAGCGGATACCTAAATGGGTGAACCGGCTAGCAAGAGTAGGTTCGTTGTGCAATTGCATTCTTCCGGAAGCCCTCAAAACTTCCACGGTACAACATGGCACAAATGTGCAAAACTATGACAGTGAGAAGAGGAAACTAAGAAGCTCTTTCAATTGTTTGTCTTCAATCTCAATGCGTCAAGGTGAGAGAGAAGTATCAATGTCATCGCTGTTCTTGCACTCTCACCATAAAGGCTGCCTTCCACTTTGGGAATCCAAAAAATCTAGAAGCAGGTCTTTGAAAGAAGGATAAGGTCTTTGTTATTCTCTATATGGACATCCATTGTGAATACTAACATAATATTACTACGTATTGCCATCTGTGAGTGTGTTGAATGGCAAAGTCGCACATAGTGCTTATTGGCTGAGATTTCATTTGGCTTGCCGGTGTTGATTTTTGCCATTCTCTGAGTTCAAATTCTGGTGTTACAAGTTCTGCTATCCAGTTCACATTTTCATCCTGCTGGAAGATCACATCGCTACGTCAGCATCTTGAGTCACAAAAATGTATTTGTTTGTTAATTCTCAGCCACTTTCTTATTTGATACTGAAAACAGAGAAGTTCTTGTTTTTTCTGGTGTAGAAATGTAGGAGCAATTTGCAAAACTTTTTCTTACTCTTGGATTTTGAAGCTTATTATCACTGCAACATGAACTATACTGGGAAGACACAACTGAGAGACTAGCTTATTTTGAGCTTGAAAAAATTAAGTGGTTACTCTTTCAGTTTCTAGTAAATTGATCATTATAACCAAAATTTTTTTTTGTTAAGAAGTTAATACAAGATACCCCATAATCACCCCAGAACCCGGTGTCACAAGTGCATGAGCATTTACTAGGAATGAAATAAAATATAGTAACTGTCCGGAATACAAGTGGACAGAAATGAAAATACAGTACAATACTCTGAAGTAGACTCTGTTGGCTACGGTCGTCTCGATAAATGCAACTCACATAAGTCTCCGTATCAACCATGCCGCTATGCCCCTAGCCACACATAAACCTATGCAAAAAAAATGCACATCAAGTGTAATAAGAGTACGAAAACAATGTGTACCCAATGAGTATCCCGTCTAATCTCGAAGAAATAGAGACGAGAGGTCGACTTCGACACTTACTAGTGGTCAAATAGTAATATATTATTAATGCGAGTAATCATGGGGTTATTAAGAATGGTAGTAATTTCTAATAAGTCACGAACAAGTAAAAGTTTCTTTTTATATTAAAAATCTCCGAATTCATAATCTATTAATTTTCAATTATCTCAAGCCAGGGAGGGCAAATATCAATATCGATAAATCTCAAGACAAGTAATACAAGCATGCACAAATCATGCCGAGGTCGTACGACCCGATCCAATATAAATGTAAAATGTGCACTGCCGAGGGTCGAACGGGGCGAACCATAGATGCATCTATTACCCCCCTCGCAAATCATACATGCGATGCGGCCAAATTAAATTAACAAACACCCTGCTCGCGAATCATACATACGACGCAGGTACACATAGAAATACATGCTCAAACAAAAAATTAAGAATTTATCGGGGAACGTTTATCCAAATAAAAGCCAATTCTCTTTTAGCGAATTAAGAAAATGAAGTTTAATCCTTTTAGAAATTCATTTACAAATTCGATAAGATTTAAGCAATTCAACTGCCAACAAGATTACAGATATTCCAAGTATAGCATGCTTTTGGGTCCTAAACTACCCGTACTTACACATAATAGTAGCTACGCACGGACTCTCTTCACCTCGTGCGTACGTAGCCCCCACAAATAGGAACACATAACCAATTATATCACCTATGGGGATAATTCCCTCTTACAAGATTAGAAAGGAGACTCACCTCGCTCCGAAGATCCATAACCGGCATTCCACGCTCTTCCGAAGACTCGAATCGATGAACAATGCTCCAAAACTAACCAATAATTATGCAAATCCATTAATATATGTTTAATTACTCATTACAATCAAATTTATAACAATTTCTAACCCCGATCAAAAAATTGACAAACGTGCCCGGATTTTGAAATTTCCCGAAGATAAAATTTACTCACGAACTCAAATATATTCTTTACTCTCAATTTCATACCCAAAATCATGGTCAAAAATCCAAAAATGTCCATTTTCTAGGTTTTCCGCCAAACCCCAAGTTTCTACCAAATTTTCATGCTCAAATCCAAACAAAACCATGTATTTAACGTCTAATGAGTGGAAACAACTTACCGTGACATAGATGAAGAAAATCTCTCTTCCGAAAGCTCCAAAATCATCCAACCCGAAAATCGTCCAACCCGAAGTGAAAATGGGTGGGAATGAACCAAAACTCGATTTTTAAAGAGAGCTCACTGCCTCCAGTCTTTTCGCACCTGCAGTCTCTTGACCGCTTCTGTGGTCCTGCAGGTGCAGACCAATTGCCGCTTCTGCGGTCCAGGGCTCCCAGCCCATTTCCGCTTCTGCGCTACTTCTTCCGCAGGTGCGGTCCCGCTTCTGCGGTGACCTGACCGCATTTGCGGTCCCAGCCTTCACCCTTCACCACCACATCTACATCCGTTTGGCTGCTTCTGTGGCTCCGCACCTACATCCAAAACTTCGCAGGTGCGGTTATACCAGATATTAGCTGCTTCAGTCCTTCTTCAAATCCCAAATTTGATCCGTTAACCATTCGGATCCACCCGAGGCCCCCCAGCCAAACATACCAACCATCCCAAAACACATTACAGACTTTCTCGAGGCCTCAAATCATATCAAACAATGCTAAAATCATGAATCGACCCCCAATCCAAGCTTAAGGAACTTTAGAATTTCAAACTTCTATATTCGATGACGAAACCTATCAAATCACGTCCGATTGACCTCAAATTTTACGCACAAGTAATATTTGACATTACGGACCTACTCCAACTTCCTGAATTGAATTCCAACCCTAATATCAAAAAGTCCACTTCTAGTCAAACTTCTCAAAAACCTTCAAATTTTTATCTTTAGCCAAATGACTCCAAAATGACCTACGGACCTCAGAAATCATTTCCAATCGTGCTCCCAATACCAGAATCACCACACAGAGCTATTCCCAGCCTCAAAATCTCACACGAACATCGATATTGCTAAAATGCACTTCAAGCCAAACTTATGAGATTCTTTCAAAAATGCCAAATTCCACAATAGGCACCGAAATGTTCTTGGGTCTTCCAAAACCCAGTTCGGACATACGCCCAAGTCCAAAATCATCATACAGACCTGCTGGAACCTTTGAATCCCGATCCCTGGGTCGTTTACTCAAAAATTCAACCTTAGTCAATTCTTTCAACTTAAGGCTTCCGTCTGATTGATCTCAAATTTTGTGCACAAGTCATATTTGACTTTACGGACCTACTCCAACTTGCGGAATCAGATTCCGACCCCGATATCAAAAAGTCCACTTCCGGTCAAACTTCTAAAAAACCTTCAAATTTCTATCTTTAGCCAAATGACTCCAAAATGACCTACGGACCTTCGAATTCACTTCCAATCGCGCTCCCAATACCAGAATCACCACACAGAGCTATTCCCAGACTCAGAATCCCAAACGGACATCGATATCGCTGAAATGCACTTCAAGCCAAACTTATGAGATTCTTTCAAAAATGCCAACTTCCATAATAGGCGCCGAAACATTCCCAGGTCTTCCAAAACCCACTTCAGACATACTCCCAAGTCCAAAATCATCATACAAACCTGCTGGAACCTTCGAATCCCGATACCAAGGTCGTTTACTCTAAAATTCAACCTTAGTCAATTCTTTCAACTTAAAGCTTCCGAAATGAGAATTTTCTTTACAAATCAACTCCAAACTTCCCGGAATTTAATTCTGACCGTGCGCACAAGTCATAATGCCTAAAGTGAAGATGCTCATGGCCTCAAACTACTAAACAATGCGCTAGAGCTCAAAACGGCCGATCGGGTCGTTACAAAATAAAAAGGTGGCTAGTGTTTACATACACTCGGGATACACGGGGGGATAGTTATTGATGTTTTGGAGTTACATAAGGTGTCACGACCCAAAATCTACCAAGGGTCATGATGGCGTCGAACACCGGTGTCAGGCAATCCAACCATAAGTACTTAATTAAATTCTCGTTTAAATAATTGTGAAAACTATGATTTTCCTTCAATTTGGCTAGTAAAAGATAATCTTTACAAAATAAATTAAAGAATATTTAGAAGTTAATACAGAATACCCCGTAATCATCTCAGAACCCGGTGTCACAAGTGCATGAGCAATATTTAGGAAATAATGTAATACAATAACTGTCCGGAATACAAATTGGACAAAAAAGAAAATACAGTACAATACTCTGAAGGAGACTCTGCTGGCTGCGGGTCGTCTCGAGAGGTGCAGCTCACCTAAGTTTCCGTATCAACCATGTCGCCGTGCCCAACTAGGCCACCAGACATACATGTGCATGTGCAACAAAAATGTACAGCAAGTGTAGTATGAGTACGAAAATAACGTGTACCCAGTAAGTATCCTGTCTAACCTCGAAGAAGTAGTGACGAGTGGTTGAATTCGACACTTTCTAAGGGCCAACAATATGGTAATATAAAAATTCTAACTAAGAATGATATACAACAATAACATTCAGAACAAGAAATAATTGAGCGAGTCTTCACCATATTTAAGAGCTTAAACCACTTCCTTCTTTTAAACCAATATTCACCAAATAGTAAATTTACACCAGTTAAATAAAAGGACTTCCAATTCTATTATAATACATATATACCACCGAGGACGTTCAGCCCGATCCAACATAAATGTAAATTGTGCACTGTCGAGGGTCGAATGGCACAAACCATAGATGCATCTATTACCCTGCTCGCGAATCATCCATGCGACGCGAAAAAATATAATTTAAAGAATTACCCCCGCTCACGAATCATACATGCGACGCAGTAAAAATATAGATTTTTCTCAAGTTATTAAAGCATTCTTCCATTCTTTTCAAAATATGAGATTTCAATGAAGACTTTCAAGATCCCCATCTTTAGAACAATTTCGACTCCTTTTAGAAGCATTTAATAAGCATTCTCAATCTCGCTCTTTCTCCAGGAAAACAATGGACATAAATCAACAATAATATCAACAAGGCATGATGTGTTCCTAAAACTACTCGGACATAGGCATAATTAGTAGCTACGTACAGACTCTCGTCACCTCGTGCGTACGTAGCCCCCACAATTAGAATCACATAATAATTTAGTTCACCTATGG